CGTGCCCGCCGTGCCCGCCTGCTCCTCCAGCCGCGCTCGCGTGGGGCCGGGCACGGCGTCCCCGTGTGCGGTTGTCGCCTGGGATTCGGCGGTACTGACGCGTAACCATGGATACGCGCGTTTAGGGCCCGCTCAATGGTTTCTTAATCTTCACACTCGTGACCCTGACTTTAAAGATGAGTGCCTCTGAGGCTGAAGCTAACTGAAGCACGGGCGCTTCCTTGAAGGATTTTTCTTTAAAGAACACACTGACCTTCGGAAGGAAAGGGAGAGGGAGGAACTTCGGTGTGAACGCGGAGCAGCCGTCGGCTGCCTCCTGCGCGCCCCCTGCTGGAAACAGGGCCCCCGGCCGGGCATCGAGCCCGGAGCCTTCCGGTGCCCAGGACGACACCCAAGCAACCGAGCCACACCAGCGAGGGCAGTAATTTATTTTCTTAATCAAGGTTTTATGTAAAGCAGATTCTTGCACCTTTGAAATCCAGGGCTGGGGAAAGACTGGAAATTCTATGGCTTGAATAATTATTGCTTCCCACAACCAACCATACAAAAATCTGAATTGTGCCCTCAGGCTTTAGGTTTTTAAGGCCATACATAAATTTACTTTGAAGTTATCTTGTATTTGAGGGAAATACCTCCTGTTCAGGTCGATTTGTTCCATGCCAATACCATCTCCCAAATTTCCTAAATATATCAACCCCCTCTTTAGATACCAAGAGGCCTAACAAGACATAATTGTCCACCTTTCCAAACATTTTCATGTGTTAACTTCGAAATAGTGGAGTATCTATTGAGTCATTTTAGCCTTTTTTTAAAAAAAAAGATCTCTAGTAGATCATAAATTTCCCCCATTTTATACTGTTGAATTCAGTTCCAAATTTGTGTATATGGTGGAATGTCAAAGTTGCTCACTGTAAAATTTGTGGCCAGTGAACACAATGTTCACTGTGTTTGGGCTTATGTGTGTGAGCTTACACAGTAAAAAAAAAATTTTATACCATATATTTTTTATTATTAATATGTTTTTATTGATTTCAGAGAGAGGAAGGGAGAGGGAGAGAGAGATAGAAACATCAACGATGAGAGTCATTGATCAGCTGCCTGCAGGCCCCCTGCTGGGGATGGAGCCTGCAATCTGGGCATGTGCCCTGACTGGGAATTAAACCATGACCTCCTGGATCCTAGGTAACTGGGTACTGAACCATGACCTCCTGGATCCTAGGTAACTGGGAACTGAACCATGACCTCCTGGATCCTAGGTGACTGGGAACTGAACCATGACCTCCTGGATCCTAGGTCAGCGCTCAACTGCTGAGCCTTGCCTGCCGGGCTACACAGTAAAATTTACTCAGTCACAGAACCGCTAACAGTTCGAGTGTTTGAGAGTAAAAATTCAGATGGCTCAAAACTATACATACATTTTTAGATCTATTCAAGCTTCTGGGTTTAGGTGATTTCCACAGAGGCTGGGTTAATTTCTTAGGTTCAGGGGAATTCCAGCCTGCTTTAGCGGACAGACCTACCAGGCATTCCAAAGTATCAGAGGGCTTTTCTTCCTTCAAAATAAGGCAGAATTGCAACTGCATCCTGCTCCTCAGAAGTCTTGGGATCATCTCGGATGCAGACCATTTTCTCTTTGGTGCATTCTTTAGCTAGCACAAAGTGGGGATGTATTAACATCCCCTATGTGATGTTTATTTTGGTCTGTAATATGGAGACCAAGGATGGGGTTTTAATGAACAATGGAATGCAAGATTCAGAAGTAGCACATTACTCAGAGCAACTCACCAGTCCACAGGCTCAGAAGGAGAGCCATCTGAACTCCAGGGGAGAAAATCCAGATTCAGAACTAGTCCTGTAAGTAGAATAGGTCCCATCTACATCTCCAGACCCTGCACCTCGCCCTGACTACTCCTAGGCCACATTTGCCTATTTCTTTTCCTAAATTCCTACAAGACTCTTCCTGCTTCAGAGCCTTTGCATGTTTTCTGTGCTGAACACTTATTGCCCAGCTCCGCCTCTCATTCATATTGTCTGAATACACATCCTTGAAAAGACCTTCCTTGACAACTAAAACTAAAATAATGTTCATCCCAGTTCCCAAGTCAGTCTCTATCACATTATCATTTTATTTCTCCCATTGTGTCATTATCTAAAATTCACATTTGTTTATCAGCTGTCTCTCTTCACTAGGATATAAGATTCATGAGGTCAGGAAACTTTGTCTATATTTTTCTTGACTGAATCTCGTGTGTCTAATGTCATACCAGGATCATAAATGACTAATTTATGTTATTGAATTGGTTGATTCACTAGAATCACTTCAGTACAAACTAAACTTGTAGTAATATGCAACTAGTGTTTACTAAATTTCTTCATGTTAAAAGATAACCACAGAACTACCTCACTCCCCAAAAATAATCTAATAAACTTTTTTTGTCTTAATAATTAGTTTAGCAATTAGTTTTACTAACTAGTAATTAGGAATTTTGTTTTAGTAATTTTAGTTTCTCTTTTCTGGAAAATAATCTTATGATAGATTAATTTTCAAGGTTGTATATTTTTCTTTAAATAAAATAAATACTGACACATCTGTACATACACAGAATTTTTATTAAATATACTTTGTGAGAAAAAGAACATGCTAAAGTGCTAAATTTCATGTAAATCAGATAATTTAGTAAATATAACAGTGAAAAAGATCAAAGGGGGAAACATCACTTAAATCTCACAAAAGAGTAAGAACATATCTTTGTCATATAAGAAAACAATCTTCAAAATATAAAAGGAACATAAATCTATCTTGTACAAGAATATACTTCATAGTTCCACCTGTTGATAATTTCAGTTAAAAATTATAAACACATGAGCAGTCTCACTCTTACCAACATGTAAATTTTAATCAACGGCATAAAGGAAAGTTACACTTGTCATTCACACTGACATAAAGTGACAGCATTTTTGTTGCACAGCAGTTTCACTGGCACTAACAGTGGGAGATGAAGAAAATAGATTTCTGAATTCAGTTGTTATCAAAGAATCTCTCTACTCCTAAAAATTCAGACAAAAATAGGTCTCAAGCTTAGCTGTTCCTAAGTTACAAGCATTAGCCAAACATTGCCAACTTGTAGGAGGCTGTGGAAAACACGTTAAAATGCTCCATGTCAAATAGCAGCTTTGTGTTACTTTCTGCTAAAGAAATTCAGTGGGCATGTTCTAAATTATTTAGGGCTTCAGTATAGATCAAAATTAGCATCTGTAACATGAAGCTAACATTATAGGGTCAACATGTCCTGAAATTCTCTAGCCAATGTTTGGCTATAAGTATTTGGAAGAAGTCAATCAAAAATAACCATATGCACATCAAAAATGAATATTTCTAAAAGAACTTTTCATGTACCAAATATCTACAAACTGAAAAGTACACACAGTGGGGCACAATAAATACTTAATGGTTGGCTGACTTACCAATTGTACATACCATTTAAGAAAAACCATGTAATTCAGATGCAAAATATATATACACACAGTTCTCTAATACCATCCTACCAACATATATATGCTGCCTGTCATTACTAAACTAGCATATATAAAGTATCAATTCAGTTAAAATTAAGTTTTAAGTAAAGAGCTCTGGCTTCTTACATAAGAGAATGAACTTTGGGGGTTACTCAGGAATTAGTTCTCATATGTAAAAAATTTAATGTTACTAGAACAATACTTGTCACTTAAAAGTTTTAGACAATATAGAAATTTACAAAAAAGTTAGAGTTTAGACCACTGCACATAGAAGGGGAAAAACAAAGTGATTAAACTGGACTATGATTTTGAATGCATTTATGATCAAAATTAACACACACACAAATCAAAACACATTTCACAGTAGGACTTGCAAAAAAATTTGTATTGATCTCTTTTTGAACCATGAAAAAGAATAAATTAGTCTTGTTCCAATGAGACCTTCAGGAAATGAAAATAATCATGAAATATCAGCGTGATGATGAACACATTCTATTACCAGTATCTACTAGTAAAGTAATTGTTATTCAAAGAGGTCGACAAACTCTAACTAGTATGAACAGGATAATGAATTCATTAGTGAATTTTACAACTGTTTTGAGCATATAGATAATCTCTGGTTTTATACCCACTACATTTCAGAATTCTGTAAACTGTGAGGCAATTCCATGTGTTTAACGTGGCAGAAAATCGTATTAAATGTTTATTTTATTCTGTTCAGCCCCTTTCCCATCAAGCATGCAAACACCGTCATGACCATCTTCGGTTTCACTTCTACCAGGTCATCAGGTAAGGCGTATATCCGGGCACCGATCTTTCGAGCAACTGAAATGGCGTATCTTGAAAAGACAAGAAAAATATCTTGGTATTTGTTATCTACTGTGTTTTCACTTAATATATGTTAACAAAAGAATGAAATGTTTTTGTAAGATTTAACTTTACAAAAAGGTTAAGTTTATGAGTATTTAAATCACATTCCCTACAAGTTCTACTTAAAAATGTGAATTTTAAGGACATAGTAACCTTGCCTGTATGGATTTAAGAAATTAAAGGGCCACTATGTTCTAATATAAACAATAAAAGCTTACTTAGCGTTGTTCAGCTTGTCCTCGTCAGAGAAGTCTTCTCTCTTTACCATTTCTTGACGAACTGCATTTGGTGCAATGGCATCTATTAAATCCAGGACAGGTAAACTAGTGCTAATAGATTTGTCCTAGAAAATGAGGAACAGATGAACATTCATATCAGACCAGAAGGTCATAACCACAAAACTGAAGGCAATTTATAAATTTTCCTTACACTTAACATTCAGCTTCTCTGTAACCAGCACACATCACAAACCATTGACAATACACTTTTCCTTCCATCTTTACAGAGCTTACAGTGTAGACAGTTGTCACCATACCTGAGGTTTCGGGTGTGACAATTACTAAAGTATGCTAACCACAGTATTCATTCTGTAAAAAATAAACAAGTTTTGAAAGGGAGAAGATGATTTTTAAATGAATAGTTTTGAAAATTCTAGTAATATATTTTTTAGACCATGGATTCCTAAGCCTTCACTTAGTATTTTTCAGAAAGAAAAATGATAGTGGGAAGGAACCAACATTTACAAAGGCACTTTTCTTGCTGTTTTACATGTTCAGTTTATTTAATCCTTGTAAGTCTGGTGTTAAAGAAATTATAACCTCTCTTTTCCAGAAGAAAAATATAAAGTTCTGAGAGCTCTAGTGAATTTTTCACACAACCAGTGAGTACAGTCACTGTTTGGACCCATAAATGCCCCACTCCAAGGTTCTCTCCATTTCTGAAGCCACCTCTAAGACCAACTACAAATGGGCAGCTAAATTTTAGTGGACAGAGCATTGCAGCCGAGGTTAGAAATTCTGGTCTGAGTTGATTTTACCACTCGCCAATATTTGAACAAATGATCTGTTCTGTCAGCCTGCAGAGTGGCCGCTGTTGGTTGCCTCTCCAGAACCCACTCCTTGCTACTTTCTGCGCCCTAATGGAAATCACCTTTTGCTGTATCCACACCTCCCACGCTGGACATGTACTCCAAGGAAAGCTGACCCCATCCACAGTCCCAGGGCTGTCCTGAATTAGTCTAGGCCACGCATTCTGACGTTGGGCTGATCAAGTTACTCTTTTATGTATAAAGCAGACATTCAGTAATATCTAAGTTACTAAAATTTCATGGGGAGAGGCGCTTAGGAAGAAAATGTCTAAAAAGACTCCTGGGGTGACAAATAATGAAAAAAATGTTTGAAAAACACTAGTCTAAGCCAAATAGAGTGTAAGCCACATTGATTTGATCTGATTTGGGCCTAATTCAACTTACTGTGAGGCCCTTATTGTTTAGAAAGAGATGGAATGCCAGCAAGCCCTTCTCCTGGCTGTGAATGGGAAGTAAAACTGCAACGGGAACAATCCCATGACCAGGAGGAGAGCCAGCTTTCGGGTGAGGTTGGCACTTGATGGCAAAGCGGAGCTGGACAAAGCCTGAGTCCTGAACGACACTCTTCAGTGACTGGCTCAACCAACCCTGAATCTACCCTACACCTCTGGACTTCTGCTACTGTTCTGTGCCTTTTCTTTTCGTTTAAACCACTTTAAATTGGGTTTCTGTTACCTGAAGTCAAAAGTATTCTTTCCTAATTACTACAATGGAAATGTCACAAGATTCCGGGGAATATTAAGATTATATAAGTGAAAGCATCCAGCACAGTTCGTAGCCAAATGTCATTCTTACTAAATGATAAAACAATGTGAAGCCTGTTGAAATTAGAATAACAGACTGCTCTCTTGGCACATGACCTATGAGCCACGGCATTTATTAACTTTAGAAAAGTTAGTTTATATTCTTCATTTTCAGGAATGTTCATTATATGAAACATTCGTGGGGGTGAAGTAGAGGGTAAAAATAATTAGGGCCCTTCAGTCTATCTCATGCTGGTAATTGGGATATGGTTTTTGGCATTTTCTCTATTTCTGAAAAATTCTCATGCCTGTTTTTTCAATGGGTAGTCAGTCTGCAAACCACCTACATGAATGTCATCTGAGGTGCTTGTTAAACGCAAAAACCTATCCTTATACTCAAATTAATGAGTCTCTAGATGGGGCTAGGAACCTAAATTCCTAATAAGCTTTCTAGATGTACACCTTTATACTTGCTAAAATTAACTTAACATTTATGTAATTCTATAATACATTTATAATATCCATGTGCTTGCTTTTTATAGTATTTCTGTGGTGATTCAAAAAATAGAAAAGTGGCTTAATTGTGCTATCTGTTGATTACTTATTGACGCCTCTGTGAGGGTTTCTTAAGTTCGGGGAAACCTGCTCCGCTCACTTGCTCTGGTTTGCGTTTCAGTTCCCTGGGTGGAGCCGACGAGGGTGCGCCCGCCGCCCCGCACTGTGGGGGCCCCGGTGGCTCACACGGCCATCGCCTCGCGCACGCGAAGAAAACCGGTAAGTTCTGCGCTCAGCAAGTTTTCGGTACACGACACAGCGTTAACTAGAGCCACCACGCCATACGTCAGGTCCTCAGATCGCCTTCATCTCATGGCTGAGCCTTTACACCCTTTGTGGTATCGTAAATATTTCCTCACTTAGATATAGGAAGCAAGGGTTTTCCCACGCATTTCCCTATGATTCACCGTAGGAAAAAGTTTTATTGAGTTGAATGAAAATTTAACTTTTGAAGATTATATCGGATTCCTTATTGCCTTATTTTCAAGAGAACAGACCGATCTTCCAACTCCTCTGATTTGTATATTATCGGTGAAAAACATTTTACTTTTGCAAAGGAAGGAGGGGTTATAGTAAAACCCTTAGTTTGGTATATAAATGTAATTTCATCATTTTTCTTTCCATGTTCCTTAACTTAATCATAAATAAATTACTTAAACAAAAATAACTTGCAGAATCTTAAAGACAATTAGCCTAGAGCTCAGCTTGATTTTCAAGATAATGAATTATACCATCTTTTTTTCTTAATTTGATTCACACTCCTATTAGAACATGCTGGCCCATTGTTCTTCCCGTCATTTTTGAAAATAAAAGTGGGGGGGAAATGTTGTGGCTGCCAGGATTCCCTAAAGAGCTCAACGGGCACCTTCCCCAATGTGATCCCTTTGTATGCCGGGGGTACCGGTAGCTCAGCCAGCCCCATTTACGAAGCCCTTGATATGTGCCAGGTACCACTGAGCACTTTACATTTGTTAACTTGTTTAGTTTGATAACAAACTCAGACGATAGATACTATTAATATCTCCATTTTAAATATGGGAAAACTAAGGCATAGAGAAATTAAAAATTTGCCCAAGGTCACACATATACTAAGTGGTAAGCAAGAAGTAAATTCAGCTTTATTCATCACGAGATGGCCATTAGCTGCTAGTATAAACCGCCAAGGCTTCCATAAGACACGTGCCCTTCTCATGGGCTCCCTGCTTTACTTAGCTGATTTCCACAGTATTAATGACACCCACAGGATTCCAGGTTCCTTATCTGCCTCCTTGCCCGAGCAGCGAGCCCTTTGAAGGCATTACGTGGCCGCAGTGACCAGCAAAGCACCTGACAGAGGGTAAGCTTTGAACACAGGGGTGGGCAAAAGTAGGTGTACAGTTGTTTGTACAGAAGAAGAGAGAAGGTTATGATTATTACAAAAGCTTTATTAACTCAAAAGAACATCACAGTGCAACAGCAAACCTACTCTGCCCGCCCCCGTGCTTGGGGAATGAATGAGCAAACACCACGCAGCTAAGTGGCTGAGCCGAAGGCAGGCCCAGGCCACAGACCCCACAGCTGGACTTTAATCCTGCATCAGACACGCCGGCTGTGACAGCAGACAAGTTAGCTAACTTTCTAACGCTCACCTTTTCGTTTATATAGAGTTGAGGGAAAAAAGAAACAGTAATGTGTAAAGTGCTCAGCATAGTGACACATAGGACTCAATAAATGGCAATTAGGAGGACGGTTATTATTATTGGCTGATATATCACCTCCTTATATTCTTGGTGAGGGGAAATTACTTGGCAACAAAAAGGGATAAATTTGTCTTTTCTGACATTTCCAGTATAGCACTGCTTTAATTGTGGTTCTTATTAGTACCACTTATAGCTTTCAAATATAATGCCTTCTACAGCTGGAAATGCCTCCCCACCCCGACTATTTTCAGCATTCGCTGCCACATTTCTTAACCACTTCGACTCTAGAATTTTAATATCAAGCACCTGCTAAATGCCCAGCACCTCTGCAGTATGTTTCTGCCACCTCTGTTTTAAGTAAAACCATGCTCTCAAGTCTACTTTTCTCAGTGAATTCTCTTCCCATAAAGCATTTGTGCACACCCATTTTTCTTTTTTTTTCTTTTTTTTCCATTTTTCAACTCTCTCTTCTATTCAACTGATCGCCACGTCTCTATTCCCAGTTTTATTACCTCCTTTCATTCAACTCCTCACTTCCTAAAAATTACCTCAAATTAACAAGCTTAAAACAGAATTCAGCTTCTTTTCCAGAAGGCAGCTGCACCTCATGACATCCCCATTTTTGTAATCATTTGTTTTCCATTTACCCAGGCCCCCAAATCAAGAGTTTTAATTCCTCTCGCTCTTCTGCGCTTCCCTAAATCAAGAAGCCCAATTCATACCTGTTCTTTTACAACGGCAAATAACTATTCATTCTTAACATTCTCGGAGCCGACCCCTAACTCCAGAACCTTCACTTCATACCCTGAGTTCAGCTTCAGTTTCTTATGCACTGTCCTTGGATTTAAACCATCTGCTCACCACCTTCAGAACAGCATTCCTAAAACAGTCACTTTTCTTACATCATTGCCCTTACCAATATCCTTTATTAAGGCCAGACTCCTCCACAATATTAACCCAGGCTATATCTTGCACTATGTCCCTTAGGAACCATCCTCTGGAGCCAAACTATTTCTCCGGACCTTCTGGGGTTTGCCTTTATTCAAGATGGACCCCTTCTAGGTTGTTACACCCCTCTGGTTCTCCACCAATTCAAATCCCTCCTCTCCATGGTGCTCAAATAAAATCCAGCTTTCTCCATCACTTTTCACTGACCATTCAGTTGGAAACGATCAATTAGATTTATCCATAATAATAGTTGCATTAATTCTTTGGATTTTATCATTTACTCTGTAGTGTCATTACCTTTGCAGTTTTACAAATTTATCTCTCAAATAAATGGTGAACACTGAGGGCCAAATTAATATTTTTAAAAATATGTATCTTTATTGATTTCAGAGAGGAAGGGAGAGGGAGAGAGAGAAACATCAATGATGAGACTCATTGATCAGCTGCCTCCTGCACGCCCCCGACTGGGGATGGAGCCCACACCCGGGCATGTGCCCTGACCGGGAATCAAACCACTCTGGGGCTCAGTTTGGGTCAAGATGAGAAGACTGAACTTATCAACTTCTAACATTTCTCCTGCTCTAAGATGTTGTTAAACATATAGAGCAGAGGCAAAGAAGAGAATCAAGATGGGCAGCTAACTCTTAGGAGAACTCAGGGAGTCATCTGTTTTTATTTCACCAAAAAAATACAAATTGCTGATTTTTCACTTATAACAACATCACAAACACAACACTCACTGAATGAATGTGCCAAGCAGACATGCTTAGATGTAGCTAACATCAGCTTGCATGCAAAAGCGAAACAATGGAAATGCAAGAAAATTAGCGGACACGTATGTGCAAATCACACCTTAAGTGCTTTATGAATCGTCCACAAATGCCTGGGAGTGAGCGGTAAGTGCCATTATGAAGCCACATGACAAGATTGTTTTTTCCTACCAGTTTTCTCACTTGCCACTTGAATCGTTTGGCTGGCTCTGTTAGGCCTTGGAAATGATGTCAGAACAGTTCTGAGACTGCTGCTAGGGAGCACAAGACATTGCAGGTCCTATATGAACAACGGCCTTTCAGCTTCCTCTTTCACCTGACAACTGGATTCTTCCGCTCTATTCTATTTCTTTCTTAAGATTAGATGATCGGAGTCTGATAGCATTAACCTGCATTTACACTCAATAGGACAAGCAATCAAAAATATAAAAATTCAAACTGTACATTTTTGGCTTACACATGCCAAATAATTAGTATGCCTAAGCTCACAAATTGTGTTCTTGAGATATAACATTAATGTAATTCTGAACCTAAACCAATGTAACTCCCAATAAAAATTTCTTCCTAAACATAATTTTTCACCAAAAAAATTTTAAATAGCTTTTGATTACCTTGAAGCTGGAAATAGAAGTGTTTTTGTTTGCACTTTTAAGAGTCTGATTGACCCATTTAATTATAATGTCATCACTGACTTTTTCACCTTCTCCAAGATCTGATAACACATTCAATGTGTACCTGTAATAGAAAAGATGTATATTTGAGACTGAAAGGGGTGAAATTTACTCCCACACCATTGATATCAATATTTATATCAATATTTAGAGAAATATTTAAGAAATATTTCAGTTCTAACAAATATTTCTAATTTTAGTCTGGTATTTACACTTAGTTACAATCCAAAGTTATAAAGCTCAGGAATCAGAAACAAAAACTACTATATGGTATTTAAAAAAATTAAAACAACTGAATACAAAGTAGTTTTTAAGAGACATTAAGAACAGTGATTGTTTCTAGAGATCTATCCACTTTTTCAAAGAATTATTTACAAAGAATATATTTCAACAGTAAATCATTTAAAAATTAATATTTTTGTAGTATATTTCTCCTGTTTGTAATTCTTCAAAAGGAACTAAAATCTTAGTTCAAAGGACTTGCTGAAGGAAACTCTCAGCGTTGCTACAGACATCCCAGCCTTTACCTCCTCATGAGCTGCCACACCAGGGCCAGCGTCAGCGTGGCGTTCCCTTCGTTTAGGTCCTGCCCAGCAATGCCCACCAGGGAGAACTTGGCCTTATTCTTCCCAAGCTCCACTGCATAGTTACAGTTTTCAATCTAAAATAAGTAAAGGTTTCAGTGTAAAAGTGAATTTTAAAGAACGCATCTCTTGAATCTGCCAACCTAGTTCAGGCATCTGAAATGTAACTATGATGACAACTTAAGTTTATATTATAGAATCTCATAGTAACACAGCAAAATTAAAAAAATAATTATTCTAATTTTATAGTTGAAGATATCCAAAGCACTGAAGGGTTCACCTAGAATCACAACTGGCTAGAATTTTTTCAGATCCTTTCTTACCTTAAAAGTCTTGCCTGTCCCAGATTACACAGCTTATTCGTGGCAAATCTGTGACAAAACACCTAGGTTTCCTGCATTCCATTAATAGAAGTATAAATATAGTTTTGCCTACACTTAAAATTAAGGGAAAGAGAAGAAATGGTTTCATCAACAGTCTGGCTCCATCTGCAATATTTTTTGTCTAGATCTTACTTGTCCTCTGAAATCCCACGTTTAGCCCACTTCCTTCAGCACAGGCTAACCTTCGCTGTGCCAGCTGTTAATAAGCCATCCCTTGTTTGAGCTCCCAATAATGCTTATACACCATTATATACTTATACTTGGCATTTTATGTACTTTCTTTGCCAACCATAGCGTAAGTTCCCTTTAAAGGGCAAAAACTGTAACGTGCACAAATCTCTTCCCCAACCCGGCCCAGGACCCAGCACAGTGCCCTGCTTACAGTAAGAATCTGATGGATGAACAAGTACATTACTTACCTACACACACACACACACACACAATTTATTTATAGATATAAATTCTTATGCATTTGAGTCCTTCGTCTCCAACCAAATTGTAAGCTCTTGTAATCTTGTAATGTATCACCAGTAATAAAAAGTACTTACTAAATACTTTTTAGAATAAAGTAAACTTGACTTAAGAAAAATAGTATAACTGGTTTCTCCTGATTTTCCTTCCCAAGTTGGTTGAAGCCTCACTGGAAAACAATACAACCTAAGAGATAGAGATATTTTTTCTAAGACTAAGGTGACATTTCCAGAAAAGGTGAGGAAGGGACCACATAGTAACAGAACTTGCACACGTAAGTGGGTATTGTTCTCTAAAAAAGAGAATTCAAATTCCCGAAGGTCACTGTGTTACAAACAAAAATGCAGGGAGACCTGAACCTGCTGTAATATCTCCTTGGTTCCCTTAATAAGTTAAATAAAATCTTTGATGTGTATTCATTTTCTTGAAGTATAAGGAAATAAATAATATTCCAATATTCTTTATTTTTCCTAGTGGCCATATTACATTATAAATTTGGTCTGCCTACTAGAAGTACATGCTATAGAAGCACACAGACTTGAAAACATGGAACAGGTTCGGAATTTACGAGAATAGCATCAGAGCTCTGATTAGGAACAGCGGGAGCAGGAGAGAGAACCACCAGCATGTTTTCCGCTGACACCCATTCCATTAGGAGAATTTTCCAGCAATTGTAACACTCACTTAAATATAAAATGTGTTTCAATAAAGGCCATTTGTTTTCTAGTTTGACCAAATTCCTGAGGGAACAGGGTGAGAAAGGAGCTCGGAAGAGGCCCAAGATGCGATGTGACCGCGCGAAAGGAAAATGGGAAGGGCGGCCAGCGGAAGGGGGAGATGTGCTCTCTCTTTCGGCATCATTTGGTTCCAAATCTGGCAAAACACTTAAGATCTGAAAACACTAGAGAGAGAGTAAGACTTTAGGTTCCCAGAGGTGAGCGCGTGTGGCAGTGCTCGGCGCTCCGAAAACGACTCCGCTGCCCGCGGCTGGGCAGCCCGCCCGGGGCATCCCGGAGGCGCGGG